TCAATTTTGTTTGTGAGTTGAGTTTTGAGGATTTTGTTCTGGTGGTTGTGTGGAAATTTTTATGACAGCAGTTAGTGTAATTTGTTGGTGTGAATGAAGGAATACATAGATAAAGAAATCAACTCTAGAAAGTATTATTAATCTTAACATAAAAATCACTTTGCACACGAACTAGTAAAAAACAAAACTTGATATATCCTTGGACAAATCTTTTTTTAGTTTATTAAAAATACTCCACTAAAAATATGATTTTTTGTACATGAAAGGATTATAATGTTTACTGAAAGTCTGCTAAATTTTGTGAAGACATACATACTATATTAAAAGTTAGTAGTATCGAAACTATAAAGACTTCAAACGAGTACAAAGATGTCATGTGGTTGGTCAAATTAACCGAGCCCATGTTGAGAAAGATATACAATGTATGTGTTCATTGTTTATGTACCGTCAATTCAGCAAGCTAGCAAAATGGCAGTTACAGGTGCTGGTATGATCCCAAATTATATCGTTTGGTTTTGGAGATTACGAGTGTTCTACATCGAAAGAGTTGCTTACTGCAACACCTGCAAAAGTAAGGTCACTGATGGGCCAAATGCTACTTCAAATTTTGTGCAGCACTTGAAAATCCACACTGGGAGGTGAGTAGCTTTTCCTGTTATCTGTATTACATCATGTATTGAAAAAGATGATCTAGGCCTAGCCCAGGCTTAATACAATGTACATGCAATTTGTCCAGGTTGAGTATCGAGGTATGATGTAATGTCATCCTATTTTTGTTGCAATTCTAGCATGTACTTTAATTATAACTTATGGTGCACATTAAAGGGCCTGAATTTTACCTCCCCCCCCAAAAAAAACAACTTTATAATTCCAATAAAGTGTCAGATTTGGAAAGAAGAGGATCGAATTAGTATGGAAGTTAATAAAAATAAAATGAAAATGGCATTGTTGAATTGTGATTTTTGACATTTATAAAAAAGGTGTAGCAATACCCCCCCACTTTCATATTTATATGTTTCTTTCATTTGTGGAAAATAATTTTTATGAGTTGATAAATATACTTGATATGATGATGTCTTATCTTTTTACCACAAGTTACACAACAAAAACTTGAAGCTTGTTTTTTTTAAGTGTTCATAATTTCCCATCCTTGGTCTTTTATTAGATAAATATTCAATGAGGAAAAACCCTTTTTGTCACTAGAGGTAGGTAGCTACCTTTAATATGCAAGTTAACTTTATTCAGTATAGCCAGGACTGGAAAGACTAACTTCAAGTAGCTGGGCTTGTCTCAGCTATCCCATGCTATACTTGAATAATGTGACAATACGAACTATTTAAGGTAAGTCTTGTAGTTCTTTTAAGATCTTTATTTTTTAATAAGTCATTTTCAGAAAAGGGTGGAGGTTGGGAGTAACATATAATAGAATTATTAGGGTGGTATTTATTCTACTTTAAGGATTTTTTAGAACTTTTAAGGGTGGAGGATGATAGGCATAATATAGTAGAAATATATACTTTTTGGATGGCTTAATTTTATCTTATTTCTACTTTTAACTTTATTACATCTTTTTAACAACTGGCTGCAGACAGTGAAAGGCAGTAAGAGTTGAGACGTGTGTATGGAAATGATGAGGCAAATGCACTTTATAAAAATTTCTCTCAAGAATATGTTCAGTGTGTTCCAGGGCAGAGATGTAGACTCAAGTCACAATTCTTTTGACTTGGGACTCGACTTAAGTGACTTGTTGACAATCCAAGTAAAAAAAAAATATATTCTTCAATTTTACTGCAACAAACCTTGCCAAACAAACATCATGGACATGTGACATTATGTTTACATAAATTCCAAAGTGCATGAGTCTAGGATAGCAACAAATTACTGAACATGTACCAGCAAACTTTTAGAATCTCAGTGCCAGGGAAAAGAATGATAAAGATGAACAAGATCGTCACCAAGAACTCAGCTACTCACAGTACATATGCCTAAACTACATACCATCATATACAAGTTGTGAATGAGACGTTAAATTTTGTACATCTTGGAGGTGTGGTAAATAAATTAGAGAAGAGGAGATGTCTAGAGAAAAAATGTCATATTTCTCACACTAGGGGAATTCAGGATGTTTTTTAATATTGCCTTATAAAATTAAGATCTTAAAACTTGTATAGTATTAAAATATGGATTATTAGCTATGATTTTATGTTATACGTATTATTGGAATAACATGAACAAAGTGTAGTTTAATTAAATTCTGAATGTAAATTTGATGAAAAGGAACCCACTTTAGAGAAAATAAAAGTTTTCAGAAGGCTTGACTGGGTAATGAAAAACTTTATTATAAATATAGGACATTTCAACAAAATCATGTCATCCTCATATACAAGTGGTTTACAGACACATGAATATAAAAACAGTATGGAACAAGAAGGTCGCATAACGAGAGATTGCTTCACAGCTTAGAAAAGTATCTTAGTACCCCAGTGTGTTGGTTTAGGGTAGGGCTGTTTTGTTCAATTAAGATAGCTTCCTTTATTCTGCTTTTATTGATGTTTGGTTCTTTGTTTAAAATTAGTGTTTTGTATAGATATACTAAGATTTTTTGAGTTTTTGCACCTTTAATATTCATCTCCATATGAAACATTCCCTGCAATTGGCAATTCTGTCTTTCACATTTGAACCTTCCAAATCATGTCATGCTATTTAACTTATATGTGTTACTTTAAATCACAACCTGGGAGCATATTATTATCAATTTAGCTTAGATAGCTTTACTTTTTGTTATTGCTTATAACAGTTAATAAGTTAAGGATTAAGAATTACCTGTAGGCATTGAAAAAACATGTATCTCATTTTCCTGTTACATTCACAATGAAGCTTATAACATCATAAATGAGTTTCAATACATAAAGTAAATTAATGAAATATTTGTAACAGGGGTAAAAATGAATATAAAAGCAACCTTGAAGTTTTGCATGTACTTGCTCTGGAAGACAAAACAATCGTGGGTCCAGAATAGAAAAATTTAACTTCTAATGTCATAACAACCTTGTCTTTCCTTGTCTGGATAAAATAACTTCCAAATGACAAGACAAATTTCACTTTCCAATATCTAAATAAAACTGACTTTCTGCATCCAGAAAAGCTTATCTTCAATTGTTTAAAAAACAATTCACTTTTTTCTAGTTTAAGGAAAAATCTGCCTTGCACCATACAGGCAAAACTTTGTCTCTAATAAATGGAAAAACTCAGTTTTTAACTCTTCCAGTTCCAAGTGCCTCAAATAAATGTATATGGTAATTAGAGAAAAAACAAATATTGAACCTAATCAAATTTTATAAAATTTGGTAAAAGTCTCTAAATACAATCAGATATCTGTTTAAGTGTTTGTATCAATTTTGACATTCTTAAATTCAGTAAAGTTCATTGTAAAACATAATTTTTTTCTATAAGTAATAAAAATACTTATTTTTATCTTACTTCTGTGTGTGATTAACATAAAATATAGTCAATGAATCCAATAGTATTTCATTAAACTAAACATTTTGTTTGTTTTTTAATTCTAATAACACCATAAAAAATCTATATAATAAGATTCAGTGTCTGTCCGTGTGTCACGTAACTCCTCCTAAACCGCTGGCCGCACCAACTTCTAAGTGGTACTAAGTAAGCTTTCTCAGCTCCAAGATTTGCCCAAAGGTAGAATTTTTCACCCCAACTCTTAGGGAACCCGGGATTTACCCCCAAAACCCCTTCTTCTAAGCTGCTGGACTCACCAACTTTTAAGTGGTGCCAAACAAATTGTCTGAGCCCCAAGGTTTGCACAAAGGTAATTCTTTTCACCCAACATCTTAGGGAACCTGAGTATTTCCCCAAAACACTTTTACAAGGATTCCTCAAAAGCAGCCCCCAGATTTGGTATTGATTTACATTAGAGCATGTAAATAAGTACACCTACTAATTACCATTCATAACTTAGGTAAGGAAATTAAATTTGCATTATAGTAACAATGATAATTAAACTGAAAAAGTGCAAAATAGCAGTTCAAGCATTAAATTTGCATTATAGCAGCCCTATAAATGCAAGCCATAGGCCCATGAGTTCATTAGTTTACATATAACCACTAAAATACACAACTCACATTTTAACGTTTTGACAAACACTTTTAAAGTATCTAGACAAACTTACCTTCTAATGCAAAAACAAAGACATCTTCTTCTACTGTTAAACAAACTCGTCCTTAATGTTAGAACAAATCTGCATTCAACCCTTTGAATAATTTCATATCTTACGTTTGAATAAACCCATTTACTAATGTCAGTATAAATCTGTCTGAAATGCCCATACAAACTCACTTTCTAATATCAAGACAAAATATGATTAATTCTCTAGATGAATTCACTTTCATAAAGTCAGGACAAAACTGTATCACACTGAATAGATAAACTTACCTTCTAGTGTCTGGATAAACTTTTGATGAAAGAAAAACACCATTTCTCACAACGTGAAAATTCACCATCAAATTTTAAAACTTGTTTTCTACTGTATGAATAAACTTGTTTTTCTTATATATAAAGAAAGTTTGCCTTTCTCTAGACAAATCAGCTTTTAATATCAGAACAAAGTTACCTTTCAATTTCTGAATTCATCTTCTAAAATTAGAATAAACCTACCAGTTACTACCTGCACAAACTCATATCAGAATAAACATACCTTTGTAAAACAAATTTATCCATTAACATCTGGACAAGCTCCTTTCCAATTTTAATACTTGCCTTGTAATATAAAAAACAAAATAAGTTTCTAATGTTACAACAAGATCTCTTTCCAACATTAAAATAAACTTGTATTCTTCTTTCAGGGCATATTTACCTTCATTGTTCAAACAAATTCATTTTTTAACATCAGGAGAAAATTGCTTTATGCTGTCTGGTCAAATGCAAATTTTCCTTTTAAAATGTTTGAACAAAATCATCTGTTACTATCAAGACATACTCACTTTCCACTGAGGAATTTTTGCAGGTGACACAGATAAAAATGTTGTCAAATGACCCATTGCTTCTGTCCAAAGAAAATCCACAAGACCAAGAACTTCTGGAGACACATTCGGAGCTGCCTTGCTCCATTCAGTCTGGAGCTGAACAGTGCAAAACAATTAACTTTACTGGGTGTTTAGAATTGTTATAATGTATTTAAGATACAATAATTCACATGTACATACACAAAGAGTAATACATACAAGGATAATTATACCCAGATTTATATATCAAATAGGATTAAAAAAACAATAAATGCACTGTTTAAATATATTTTTATGTATTTCACAACATTACATTCAGTAATTTGCATACATGAACCTTGGAAAAATTTGAAATTTCCTTAAAAAATGAAACAAAAGAACTAAAGGTGCATACACAAATTGTTTTTTAAAATTATTCTACAGAGATTTTATTTTCTGAGATTTTAACCCTCTTGCCAAGGGCATCCTTTACTACACACATCACAAATTAGTGTTTTCAATTATTCCACCGAAGTCTCATGTGAGAATAACTTATTGGTTTAATGTAACCAATTAATGATCCTAGCTCTACATTTCAGTACTGCTCTTTTTATCATTCTTCAGTCTCAATTTTGAGGTGTTCTATTTTAGGTACTGCTTTTACTTTATTTCCCTTTGAGTTTCAATTTTATGATTCTTAGATATTATAACACTTTTTGATAACATTCTTTTTACAGTTCCAGCATGAACAGTAGTGCATATCTGTCTAAGGTTAACTGAACAAAAATAAAATATAATGATTTTATTATTCTGAAATAAATTTCTCAAATATAATATCTTTATGTTAATCACTTTAGAGAAAACTACAATGCTAATGTTTTAAGACACCCACTAGGAAACACTGTAAAAGCTTGGCTAATCATCTTTTCTTCTGGTCAGTCATCAGTTATTAAAAATCAAATATTTTTTCTAGTAGAAGAGATTTTCCTACTATTATAATATTCCCTTTAAAAAATTTAGATACATTTTTGTTCTTGTCTGTTGTCTTGAAGATAATCATGATAAAATTACACATATATCTCTGCATTCAAGGGAAAAGCAATAACATAACACATCACACAATGTCTTGCACAGTTAATAAATGGAGTGTTTTATAAATGTAAGTACTGGCATAAATTATAGTCCGATCTCTTAAAATAGATCAAAACTGATACCACAACAAAACAACCATTATATACTACCAAGTAACAAAGAAATACTTAACAGTTATACTCTATACATTAGTTAGTATGTTCTAACATCTTTGTTGAACAATGAAGGATGACTCATGAAGAGCCTAAAATGGCCAAACATATCACACAAATATAAAATGTTTTGGTATTCACATGCATCACCAATAATGGATATTAAGTGTACTGAATGATTAGCTGCTGTTACTGTTAAAAGTTTTAGAGTTTTGAATTTTCAAAAATTGCAAAGTTAATTTTTATGAACTAAATATTAGAAAGAGCAATGTTTTTTTAGAATTCACACATCTTTTTATCAGTTGTCATTGTAAAACTTTTGTTTATTTTGTTCACAACATTTCACCAGATTTACCTGATATCATCAGGTGAGATACAAAAACTGAGACTAACAGAAATTAATTTAAAAAAAGGAATCATGTGAGAACCTATAACAATAATTTATATATTTTAATACTTTTTTTTGTTTGTTTGAAGTTAAGCACAAGTCTGAAAACATACTGCTGTGTCACTGGAGAATGTCTACAATACTAGCTAAAAGTTTGTTATGCAGGCTACACAGACTGTAAGATGCTTATGCATCTTATACATCAAACATACAAGTTATAAACTTAATAACTCATTAATAAAAATATAATTAAATTAATGACTGCTTTTTATTTTATTTAATTAATACTATAAATTACATGTAAATATTTTATATTAAATACACCATGTGTTTCATGTTTTAATTGAAACAAAATAACCTAGTCATTCACATGGCCAAGTATCCATTTAGGCCACATCATGAGTTGGGACCCTTGAAGCTGCAGGAATGCAGAAGCAATGTCAGCACCTCCAATTTGTAGTTTAAAAGTTATAGCCTACCTGAAAGAACTATAACAAAATCTTAAGAATATTTCAGATTTTGAACTATTAGAAATATATAAAGAAAATGTATTCACTTAGTAATTAAATGAAAGTGCAGAACTTCCAATAAAATTTGATTTTTTTTTCTCTCTTCAGAATGTACAAGTCAAATTTGATAGTATAGAATTAAGTTTTCCACCACACAAACCTGACACACGTCTTGTTTCTGCAATAACACTTTCTTATTTAAAATTGGACACTGATGCTGTGGATGGTGAGGCAAAACAGAGTAAAATTCTTGACTCAGTCGCAATATAAGATCCTTAGCTTCTTGTCGTTTTAAGAGTTTTTCAAGTTGGGACAAAATTCCTTCTGCTTCATCTATCTGTAAACAAACCAACATTTTTCTGTAAAAATTTGTAATCTTGATCTATTTTAAATTTAAATTAATTTTCTATTTTTCCATGAAAAAGCCTGAATATCTTACAATAATAGTATATATCAAAAATATTCAAAATTAGACAACTATATAGCCCAGTAACAAAGAAATAATTAATTTTGAAATCAGAGTACATTCACTTTTCATTACCAATACATACACACCTAATACAAGACCAACTAATTATTTTAATGTCAGGAAAAACATTAATATATGGTTAAAGTTGCCTTCAATTATCTTTTAAAAAATCTTCTGATTTCAAGAAAATTACCTTCAACTGTTATGACAAACTTAACTTCTACTGTCCAAACAAACCTTCTAATGTTGACAAACATAGTCTTCTAGAGACTAGATAAACTCACTTTCTAATGACAAAACAAACTTGCCTTCCACTACCTTGAAAAACTAATCTTCTAATGGCAGATAAACATGTCTTATAGTTAAAACAAACTCATGTTCTAATGTAATAATAAACTTGTTTTCCATTGACTGGACAAATCAAATATGAAAATAGAAAAAGCCAAAAAACACAACATCCTTAAATCTTTAAAAGTGGGAAGGACATATAAGCCTCCTAATTAAACCTTAGGTATGTCATATTATTTATAATTAAATTTATAACGGTAAAAACAGATAGTCAACAGATTTAACATGCATTGGACATTCAAAAAATCATACACAATTATCATCTTAGAGCATTACATTTATTATAAAACCAGCTCAAGATAAATTCATTGTCAAATGTCATATAAAACATTCTTCCACTATCTCAACAACTCACCTATCAAATGTCAGGATAAATTTGTCTTTCTTTGTCTCAAAAAACTAATTTTCTAATATTAAAACATACCTAATTCCATTGTTTCAACACACACATCTTTTAATACAAAGAAAAATGTATTTTCCTCTACTTAACAAAACTAGTTATTTTAACTCTACTACCTCAACAAACACATTTTCTAATGTCAACAAATATGTCTTCTGTCTAGAAAAATTCACTGTCTAATTATCATCACAAACTCACCTAATATCGCAACTAACATGATTCCATTGTCTGATGTCATCACAAGCTCAACTCCTAATAACATAACTAACTTGATTCCACTCTCTGGAAAAATTCACTTTCTGATGTCATCCCAAACTCATCTAATATTATAACTAACTTGATTCCACTGTCTGAAAAAATTCACTATCTGATGTCATCACAAACTCAACTTCTAATGTCAAATAACTTAAATCAACTGTCTAGAAAAACTCACAGTTTGATGTAATCACAAACACACATTCTAACATCATAATTTGATTGTACTGTCTAGAAAAACTCACTTTCTGATGTCATCACAAACTCACCTAATATCACATCTACTTTGATTCCATTGTCTGGAAAAATTCAGTCTGATGTTATCACAAACTTATATTCTATTCAAAACGACTAGATTCCACAATCTGGATAAACTCACTGTCTGATATCATCAGAAACTCACCTAATATCGCAGCTAACTTAATTCCACTGTCTGATGTCATCAGAAACTCACCTTCTAATATTATAAATAACTTGAATCCACTGTCTGGAAAAACTCGCAGTTTGATGTAATCACACATTCTAATATCATAATTTGATTCTACTGTCTGGAAAAATGCTGACTGAAGTTTTTACAAACTCGCCTTCTAATATCATAACTAACTGGATTCCACTGTCTGTAAATATATACTTTCTGATGTCATCCCAAACTCACCTAATATCATAACTAACTTGATTCCACTTGTCTGTAAATATATACTTTCTGATGACATCCCAAACTCACCTAATATCATAACTAATTTAATTCCATTGTCTGGAAAAATTCACTGTCTGATGTCATCAGAAACTCAATTTGTAATAAAAGGACAGACTCACCTAGAAATATCTTAAACTTTTTTCCACTATATAAATAACTCTTCTTTTAATGTAAGGACATACACCTTGTTATTGCAGGTTGTAATCAATTACTTGTATATCAAACAAGTAATAGAAAAAAAAATTGCCAAAATTAACTTGTGTGGTGGTATTATTAGTTAGACACAGTTCCAAGGGCAATAAAATAATAAAATTTAAGTATAAATAGATGTATACTGTCATGAGTTTAAAGCTACTTAGGATAAACAAATGTAGCTTCATATTACGATTTGAAGTCATTCTAGAGAGAAGAAAAGTAATTTAGATTTATTTTATATATTTTTTATGGTGGTTACATGGTCAGTCAAATTGACCAACCTCGTATAGAATTAGGGTAGAGAAAATCACAAATAAAATATAATGTTTTACTGAAAAAGGTTTGAAATTTATTTAGGTTTTTAGAGATTATGCTAATGAAATTTGAAAATTAGCAGTCAATATATTAACGAGGAAATTTTTAGCAAAAATACTTCATTGAAAATTCTGATTTTTTGTCTACAAAAGACTTAATGCTTACTGAAAGCTTACAAAATTTTGGGAAGATACACAAAACATTAAAAGTTATAGTATGGAATCTATAATAGTCATTTTGTGGTCATGAACTCGGACAATTCAACCAAGACCCTAGTGAAAGTGTTAATAGCACAATTCCAATAATTATGTATTTGGC